CTGCTCCGTTTCTCCCCATTTTTGCTCTGTTTGTCCCCATCTTTGGTCCATTTTTCCCCATTTCCGCTCCGTTTCTCCCCATTTTTGCTCCGTTTCTCCCCATTTCTGCTCTGTTTCCCCCCATCTCTGGTCCATTTTCCCCCATTTCCGCTCCGTTTCTCCCTATTTTTGCTCCGTTTCCCCCCCTTTCTGGGCCATTTCCCCCCATTTCTGCTCCGTTTCTCCCCATTTCTGCTCTGTTTCCCCCCATCTCTGGTCCATTTTCCCCCATTTCCGCTCCGTTTCTCCCTATTTTTGCTCCGTTTCCCCCCCTTTCTGGGCCATTTCCCCCCATTTCTGCTCCGTTTCTCCCCATTTCTGCTCTGTTTCCCCCCATCTCTGGTCCATTTTCCCCCATTTCCGCTCCGTTTCTCCCTATTTTTGCTCCGTTTCCCCCCCTTTCTGGGCCATTTCCCCCCATTTCTGCTCCGTTTCTCCCCATTTCTGCTCCATTTTTCCCCATTTCTCCCCGTTTCTGAGCCATTTTTGGTCCATTTTTCCCCATTTCTGCTCTGTTTCCCCCCATTTCTGGTCCATTTTCCCCCATTTTTGGTCCATTTTTCCCCATTTTTGGTCCATTTTTCCCCATTTCTGCTCCGTTTCCCCCCATTTCTGGTCCATTTTCCCCCATTTTTGGTCCATTTTTCCCCATTTTTGGTCCATTTTTCCCCATTTCTGCTCCGTTTCCCCCCATTTCTGGACCATTTTTCCCCATTTCTGCCCCGTTTCTCCCCATTTCTGCTCCGTTTCCCCCATTTCTGCTCCATTCTCCCCATTTCTCAGCTCACCCCTGCTCCTCCATCAGCTCGGCCAGCTCCAGGCATTTCAGCTCCACCCTCCTCTTGCGCTGGTGGTCGAGGATGTCGGCGTTGGGCTTCTTGGCCAGGGCGGCCTCGAGGCGCCGCAGCTCCTCCTCGCCGGGGGGGGGGTCCCCGCCCGCCCCCCCTTTCTTGGGCCGCAGGGCCGAGAGGTTGCGCTGGACGTAGCCGTTGGTGCCGCTGCCCCGCGGCGTCGGCAGCCCGATCCCATTGTACATCCCAGCGCTGGGAACGGGGGAGTCAGGGCCCCCCACATCCCCCTGATCCCTGCCCCCTAAATCCCTGAAATCCCCAAGCCCCAAATCCCCGATCCCATTGTACATCCCAGCGCTGGGAACGGGGGAGTCAGGGCCCCCCACATCCCCCACAACCCCCTGATCCCTATCCTTGAAATCCCTGAAATCCCTGCCCCCCAAATCCCTGAAATCTCCGAAATCCCACAGCCCCAAATCCCTGAAATCCCTGAGCCCCAAATCCCTCAAATCCCCCTGACCCCACAGCCCAAAATCTCCTCTTTCCTACAGCCCCAAATCACCCAAATCTGCCCCCAAAACCAGCCCAAAAATCCCCCAAATCCTCCCGATCCTACAGCCCCAAATGCCCCCATTCCTAAATCCCCAAATTCCCCAAATCCTACTGCCCCATATCCCCCAAAATCCCCCATTCCTAAATCCCCAAAATCCCACAGCCCCAAAACCCAAAATCCCTCAAATCCTACAGCCCCAAATCCCCCTGATCCTGCATCCCCAAATCCCCAAATTCTCCCCCAAACCCCCACCCCTTTCGCCCCTCCCGCCTTAAAAAAACCCTTTTTAACCCAAAATCCCCATTTTTCACCTCAAAATTCCCATTTTCCTGCAAGAATTCCCACTTTTTAACCCAAATCCCCATTTTTCACCTCAAAATTCCCATTTTCCTACAAGAACTCCCACTTTTTAACCCAAAATCCCCATTTTTCACCTCAAAATTCCCATTTTCCTACAAGAACTCCCACTTTTTAACCCAAAATCCCCATTTTTCACCTCAAAACTCCCACTTTCCTACAAGAATTCCCACTTTTTAATCCAAAATCCCCATTTTTACTCAAAATCCTCATTTTCCTACAACCAAAATCCCACAGCCCCAAAACCCCCCAAATCCTACAGCCCCAAATCCCCCAAATTCCCATTCCTAAATCCCCAAAATCCCCAAATCCTACATCCCCAAATCCCTCAATCCTAAATCCCCAAATCCCCCAAAATGCCTCATTCCTAAATCCCCAAAATCCCCCTGATCCTACAGCCCCAAATCCCCCAAATCCCCCTGATCCTGCAGCCCCAAATCCCCACCCACTTTTTAACCCAAATTCCCACTTTTTTCCTCAAAATTCCCATTCTCCTGCAACAACTCCCTCTTTATCACCCAAAATCCTCATTTTTTACCTCAAAATTCCCATTTTCCTACAAGAACTCCCACTTTTTAACCCAAAATCCCCATTTTTCACCTCAAAACTCCCACTTTCCTACAAGAATTCCCACTTTTTAATCCATAACTCCCCCTCTATAACCCAAAATCCTCATTTTCCTACAAGAATGCCCACTTCTTAAGACAAAATCCCAGTTTTTCCCCTCAAAATCCCCATTTTCCTACAAAAATTCCCACTTTTTAACCCAAAATCCCCATTTTTCACCTCAAAATTCCCATTTTCCTACAAGAATTCCCACTTTTTAATCCAAAATCCCCATTTATTCTCTCAAAATTCCCATTTCCCTACAGAAATTCACACTTTTTAACCCAAATTCCCACTTTTCTCCTCAAAATCCCCTTTTCTCTTCACTTCCATAGCCCCAAATCACCCCAAATATCCCCTTTTCCCTCCCAAAATCGCTTTTTTCCCCCAAAATCTCACTCCTCACCAAAAACTCCCTTAAAATCCCAATTTTTTTCCTCTCACACGGCCACAAAAATCAATCATTTTCCCTAAAATCCCAATTTTTGCCCTTTTCCTCCCAAAGCTCCATTTTCCTCCTCACACTCCCAAAAAAAATCACATTTTTCCCCCAAAATTCCACTTTTCTCCCTCATAACTTCCCAAAAAATGCTTTTTTCTCCCTAAAATTCCCCTCAGAACCGTCCTAAAAAACAAATTTCCCCTCACAATTCCCACACAAAAAAATCACATTTTTCCTACTCAAAACCATCTCCCAATCCCTAAACTCCACAAAACTTCCCAAAATTACTTTTTTTTCCCCATAAACTGATCAAAATTCAGATGTCTACTACTTACTGATTTTCATGGGAAAATGAAAAATTCTCCACATTGTATGGAATGCCAATCTGTGTGTTGAAACACGTACAAAAGAAAGCTCTGTACAAGAATTCCCACTTTTTAATCCAAAATCCCCATTTTTACTCAAAATCCTCATTTTCCTACAAGAATTCCCACTTTTTAAGACAAAATCCCAATTTTTCTCCTCAAAATCCCAATTTTCCTACAAAAAGTCCCACTTTTTAACCCAAATTCCCACTTTTTTCCTCAAAATTCCCATTCTCCTGCAACAACTCCCTCTTTATCACCCAAAATCCCCATTTTTCACCTCAAAATTCCCATTTCCCTACAATAACTCCCCCTCTATAACCCAAAATCCTCATTTTTCACCTCAAAATCCCCATTTTCCTACAAAAATTCCCACTTTTTAACCCAAATTCCCACTTTTCTCCTCAAAATCCCCTTTTCTCTTCACTTCCATAGCCCCAAATCACCCCAAAAATCCACTTTTCCCTCCCAAAATCACAATTTTCCCCCCAAAATCTCACTCCTCACCCCAAAACTCCCTTAAAATCCCATTTTTTTCCTCTCACACGGCCACAAAAATCAATCATTTTCCCTAAAATCCCAATTTTTGCCCTTCTCTTCCCAAAGCTCCATTTTCCTCCTCACACTCCCAAAAAAAATCACATTTTTCCCCCAAAATTCCACTTTTCTCCCTCATAACTTCCCAAAAAATGCTTTTTTCTCCCTAAAAAATCCCTCAGAACCATCCTAAAAAACAAATTTCCCCTCACAATTCCCACACAAAAAAATCACATTTTTCCTACTCAAAACCATCTCCCAATCCCTAAACTCCACAAAACTTCCCAAAATTACTTTTCTTTCCCACAAAACTTATAAAAAAATCAATTTTCCCCTCAAATCTCCCCAAAAATCTGTTTTTTTCACCTGGGATTTCCCCCAAATCCTTCTCTCCCCTCACAACTCCAAAATCCTCATTTTTTTACCTCACACCCCCCAAAATTCCCCTATTTTCCCCAATTCCCACTTTCCTTCCTCAAAACCACTTTTAACCCTATAAATTCAAATTAAATTTCAATTTTTTACCTCATAACTTTAACTTAAACTAAATTTTCCCTCATAAACCTAAACCTCCGTTTTCCCCCTTCAAAATCCCTAAAAACGCCAGATTTTCCCCCAAAACCACCCCGAGGGGAATTTTTCCCCTCAGAACCCTTTAAATTCCAATTTTTACCTTAAAAATTAAAACAAATTCAACTTTTTTCCCTCAGACTACTCCTAAAAAGCTTCAATTCCCTCAAAACTCCCTCAAACTCCTTTTTTCCCCTCACAAACTTTTTAAAAATCGCTATTTCCCTCCAAACACATTTTCCCCCAAAAAAATCCAATTTTTCCCCTCACAAACCCCACCAAAAAAATCTTTTTTACCCTCAAAAACCTCCCCAAAACCCCACCTCAAAAAAAAAAAAAAAATCAATTTTGCACGGAAAATTCCCTTTTTTCCTCATATTCTCATTTAAAAAGACTTTTTTCATCCAAAATCGCCTTCTTCCCGCTCGAATCCGCTTCTCCCTCCTCAAACCCTCGTTTTTCGCCCCAAATTCCCCTTTTTTCCCCTCAAACCCACCCCAAAATCCAAGTTTTTTAATCCAAATTATCTTTTCCCCTCACAAACCTCCCGAAATCCCCATTTTCCCCCTCAAAAATTCCCTTTTTCCCCTCAAAACTCCCCGAAATCGCAATTTCCCCCTCACAAACCCTCAAATTCCCATTTTTTCCCCTCAAACCCACCCCAAAATCCAAGTTTTTTAATCCAAATTATCTTTTCCCCTCACAAACCTCCCGAAATCCCCTTTTTCCCCTCAAAGCTCTCCAAAACCGCAATTCCCCCCTCACAAACCCCCCGAAATCCCCATTTTCCCCTCAAAAATTCCCTTTTTCCCCTCAAAACTCTCCAAAACCGCAATTTCCCCCTCACAAACCCCAATTCCCCCCTCACAAACCCCCAAATCCCTATTTTCAACCTCAAATTCGATTTTTTCCCCCTCAGGAATCCAAAAATCTCTTTCCTCCCCCAAACTCCCATTTTTTCATCCTTTTCCCCAAAATTATCCTTTTTTTCCCCCAAAACTCCGCTTTTTTCCCCTCAAAACCCTTTTCCCCCTCACAACTCCGCCGATCTCAACTTTTCACCTCACAATCCCCCTCACAAAAACCCCAATTTCACCCCGAACTTTTTTTTTTAACCGAAACCTCCCTTTTTTTACCCAAAACCCTTTTCTTCCCCCTCACACGTTTCCCCTCACTAAACTTTCACTTTCCCCCTCCAAACTCCTTTTTTACGCCCCAAACTTCCCCCTTTCGCCTCAAATTTCCCCTTTTTACCTCAATTTCTGCCCTTTTCCCCCAAATTCCCCCTTCTACCCCCAACCCCCATTTNCCCCCCGCGCTCCCCCCGACCCTCACCTGTTCCTCTATCGCCGACAGCTCCGCTCTATCGCGACAGGACCCTCACGATCCCTGCGCGGCCTCGCCGCCCGAGCGGAGCCGACGCTGAGGCGACGCCACGCGCGCCCCCGCCTCCACTTCCGCCCCGAGCGCATGCGCGGGCGCAAAGGGCGACGGGGCTGGTAGTCCGTTAGCTCCGCCCCTTCCGTTAGCGGCTGCGGGCGGGGACTACGATTCCCGGCGTGCACCGCGGGGCGCCGCCATCTTCTGACTCCTCTGCGCCGCGATGCACGCTGGGAGTTGTAGTCATTTAGCGACAACATAAACGGGCTCATAACGAGACCTGGACTACGACTCCCAGCGCGCACAGCGCGCGGCCGCCATCTTGTGACAACTCCAACCCGCCGCCCTGAGCGAGGTCCTCCGAGCCGCTAGGGAGCGCTGTCGGCGCCCGAGTGTTTTAACCCCCAAAAAAAGCGAATTTCGGGGTTTTTTTTCCCGATAAAAACGTGGAATTCGGGGCGGTTCCCCACCAAAGGGGCGGGGGTAGGGTGGGTTCCCTGTGGGGGGAGGGGCTACGCCGGTTTTCTTGGTAAAGAGGCGAAATTGGGGGGGGGGGTTACCCTGCGGACGGGGGAGACAAAAAGAATTTTTCCTATAAAAACCCCAAATTTAAGGATTAAAACGTGATAAGATTTGGGGATTTTTCCCCCAAAACCGGCAGAATTCAGGGGTTTTCCTCACCGGACACGCGGAGACAAGGATCGGGTTTTAATAAAATGCAAAAAAAGGCAAAAAATTCCCAAAATTCCGGATTTTTCCTTTTTTTGGGGGGGTTAGGGCGTTTTTCCCTAAAAAAATGGAATTTTGGGGTTTATTCCCTAAAAAAACCTCAGAAATGATGGGGGTGGCTCGGAGGGGCGGGGCCGGGGGTGGTTTTTCTTCAAAAAAGGGAAAATTTGGGCGAAATTTGGGAAAATCTGAGAAAGGGGGGGAGGAAAAATGAGGGAAAAGGGGAAAAACTGGGGTAAAAAGGATAAAAAATAGGGAAAATCAGGGGAAAAAGAGAAAAATCAGGAAAAAAAGGAAAATCGGGGTAAAACCCCCACAGGGGCAAAAATTTTGGCGTTTTCTCCTTTTTTAGGAGAAAATTTTGGGGTTTTTTGCCCTTTTTGGAGCCAATTCTGAGGGAATTCAACCCCCAAAAGAGGAAATTTTACCCCAAAAAAGGCAAAATTCGGAGTTTGTGCCACAAAAATCGCCAAAATCCGGGATGTCGCCCATCTCCAGCTGAAAAATCTGATTTTATTTGGGTGGAAAACGGTAAAATAAAGGAGAAAAAAATTAAAATAAATAAAAAAAAAGGGAATTCGCTTTTTTTGTGCGGGATAAAAGGGCGGATTTTGGGATTTTTCTCCCAAAAAAGGGCAGAGCCGGGGGTCCCTCCCCCTCCCCCCCCC